AGGGCTTTTCGATGACTGACATGCTAAAAGAGGAACAGACACAGAGCATATGGTAAAGGACGTCACATTTATGAAGCAATGAACACACTCATCGTCAGGGGGGATAACTAAGGAGGGCCTCCAGCTGGGATTAGTTGTCCTCATCGTCTGGCGTTCCTTCGCATTCACGGTTCGGCCTCCTCGTCAGCACCCTCATTGTCTTCGCGGAGAATCCCACGACGAGTCTTCTTGCGGACGCCGACGGTTTTGGGAGCGCGGCGCAGCACGACTCGCTTGCCAAAGTGTGCTGAGATCCTGTCACCGCACGCGAAGTCCTCGTGCCACACTTGAAAGCAAGTCTTGTCGCCACCTCTGCGCGCCTTGCCACACAGGTAGAACTTGGCGTCGCCGTTGGAGCAGTCCGGGCAGTAGTAGGTCGTCTGGAACGACTTTTTGAGCTCGCCTCGATACAGCGAGCACACCTTGCACGACCGCTGACGCCTCTTCTGGATGCCGCCCCTCACAGTCACCCAGTCGTTGAACTGCACGAGCGTGTGCCCGGAGAATGCAGGGCGCCGTCGCTTGCGTGCTGCTGGCGACGGAGTGGGGGCTGCCATGAAGTCTTCGTCCTTGAGCTGTAGCAGCTGCTTGTGCAGCATGCTCAACCACTCGTATCGCTTCATGGGCGTCTCGCCGGCGAGCCGACTGGCCTCTTTATGCGTGAGGTACGCGTTGACGAGCGCCAGGTCCAGTAGTCCGAGGAAAAGACTCTTATAATACTTCCGGAACCTGAAGGAGAGCTGGATGGAGGAGGACTGGAGGCGGAGCTGGTCATGCACGTCGACTCCTCCCATCCAGCGCTGGTAATCCGTCACCCAACTTCGGGCACTTGAACATCGAAGTCCCGAGCCCCTTCAGTTTCCGCTGGATCCTGTCCTCTGCCATGGACACCCCTGTCGCGAGGTAGTGGACCGGCTTCCGCGCCCAACCAGAGGCACGAAATCATTGTCGGCACTGCCGTCGATCTTGCGAACTTGAAGGATCCACGCTCGATGCGCCTTGGCCGCGTCTTATGCTCCGCTACGATGTCGCCGGTTGAAGCCCAGGGGCTTCGTCATGATCGTACCGATCACGTAGATTGACATAGAGAGAAGCTGGATGGCGAGGGCTAGCGGACGAATAGAAGCGGTCGATGACCACAACCCCGGAAGCCCACGATGCCCAGGCTAGAACAGTGCTCAGGTTGCGGAATGACTGCCGCAGCGCCCGTCTTACGGTCATATGCCTGCGCAGCAGATTCCCTGGCATTGGCGTTTCCCGACATAGATCTCAAACTCTGATAGAAAACGACATTGAGAGCACGGTCAAAATCATAAAGTCATAACTTACGACCTAGCAAATCATCCAAAAAAACATTCGTCGCTTACCGGTGGCAGTACGCAGTCAACGAGTCGCATGTCATAAACATCTTGGTCCCGTAGCGGTGAGGCTTGTTTGGCATGAACATCCTGGTCGTGTTGCGCCTGGATGTCGCCGGCAAGACACCTTCGTCAAACGAGATGATGTTCGGCGGCTTCCACGCGCTCAGGAACCGTTTTTGCAGTACATCAACAACGTCACGGATCTTCCACAGCTTGTCTTGACGGTTCGGGCTGTCATTGTTCGCGAAGTGTAGATCGCGCAGGATCGACGTGCAGCGGTTCCGGCTCATGTACTTGCCGAACGCACCTGCACTTAAAGCACCATCGTCGGTCATTGCCCAGTGCTGCGAAAAGCGTCGGGTGGGGCTCAACATATGAGACACGAGAAGCCCAATAACGCACAAGATCTCGCGCGGTGAGTAGTCGTTCTCCCGACGAATACGGCGTCGAAGTTCACGAAGTGTACGCATGTTCTCCGTTCTGGACGTCCGCGATCGTTCATAACGCGCTCGATGGTCCACCGTCTGCCTTTTCATCCGGTTCGTCTCTTTGGTGATCCGCATCCACAGGCGCTTCGGTAGGAAATAAAACATCAATTCAAGAGGTGATTCTTTCTTCGAGCAAAGTTCTGGTGTTGGATGGGTGGTCTCGTGCACCAATCCGCGAAAGCAGGACACATCGTCCGCAAAAACTGTCGAAGGCGCGCTCCAGGCAAAGTTTCGCAGCGCTTCCTGGTCCATCTGCTCGATGGACAAGGTGCCACCCAGGGCCTCAATGAAAGCGGCATCCATGTACGGCGACTCCTCGTCGTCCGATACCTCGTCCTCGTCTGGATCAGGACGGACAGGCTCCACGTCGTCGTCGTCAGAAAACTGGCCGTAGTCGGAGCCTGAACTCAGACTCTCGTACTCCTCTCTAAGATCTCCAGCCTTCATCAAGTTTACATCAGCTGGATCGCGTGGTACAACTGGTCCTCCAGCGTCGTCACCCTCGCTGGCGTCTCTCGGCTCCTCCACCGTGTCGTCCTCAGAGTCTAGGTCGGGCTCCGTCTCCGAGAGCAGCCGCTGGAAAGATCCGATCACGACACTCTGGTCTGAGTCATGCACCGCGTCAGCACGTAGCGGGGATAGCCCAAAAGCTCTCCCAACCGCGTTCTGCGACAACGCAGGTGTGCCATCGTCCTCGCTGTCACTTCCGAACAGCGCGTCGACTGTGTTGGCCGAGAGGGCCACATTGCAATCAATCTGCGACGCTCGCACCATATCTCCATCACCGCTGTCGCCCCCCACCGCTCCCAGCTTCACCGCCGCCACCGCTCTCAGCTTCACCGCCCCCCACCGCTTTTGCCCTCACCGTTATCTCCACTCTCCTCGCCACTGCTGTTGTCCTCTTCATCCTGAATCAGTCCGGTTGTGATCGCGTGCTCCACCACTGCTCTCTCACCTACCACAAACCAAGTTAGAAATGACGCATAGTAATACTGCAATAGCACAACATACTGTAGAACACAATCTCGCCTTCTGCAGGAACCTCGCTGGACGGCCTGACGTACGCCCAATCGTTTGACAGTCCGGTGGGAGGCTTCGACCGCCACCCCGCGGCCTTGAGCTGGCGCCACAGGTGGCCGAAGTCTACCAGGCGCGGATCCAGGGCGGGCGCTGACACCGACGCTTGAGCCTTAGCTTTGGTTATTGCGCTCACAGAGACCGGCATTTTGCTTACGTCTCAGCCGGCAAAATCTCGAATGGCTGAGAGTGCCCGAAGACTTCTGGCCACTCATCAAATGATGACAGTTGGAAAGGTCCACTTGAACCCTTTTCCTCGTACTGTCTTTGTGTGTGCAGCAAAAACCTCTCCAGCCTTATATCCGATCGGCCCCAAATTTGATTTGATTTCAGTATCCGGTCGCCGTTTCCGAGCCAGCTCCAATATGAAGAAAACACTATGTCGTAAGTTACGACGTACAATTTGGACTATGTCATAACTTATGACGTTGGTAACAGGGGGGGTTAATTAGCTCAGCCCAATTCTTCACTTGACGATGAATTCCACAGCAGGCTTGCTTGCAGCCTTACGCTAGCAATTAGTTTGTATGTAGGGAGGGGGGATTTTTCCGAGATTGCCTAATAGCTAAACCTGGGTCCTTAAGCGCGAGTTTCTTGGATTCTCCCCTGATTTAGACTCAACCGAGAACCCCTGACTGAATCAATGCTGTCAACTCGTCGGAAGGCTGCGCGATATAATTGTGTAAGCGAATTGGTGTACGTCACCACTTAACATTGGGAATCGCACGCGCCTCTGTTCTTCTCGCAGCGCTTGCGGTCGCAATAGATGGCGATGCCAACAGCAGAGAAGAAAAAATCGTTCGCTTACGATAAGTGTGGAGGCTGGAAAGAGAAGGGTTGCGGTGGGACTTAAGCGATGGCAGCGACCGACAACAGTGATCGTCACGAGGAGCGACACTGGATGAATGCCCTGATACTAAACAATTTATAAAGTGCCTACGACGTTTTTTCAATCATGGGCATTTTGTGTTTTGTCGCGGTACAGAATCTAAATAGTTGTATGCCAGCCAATACGTACATGTATCCTTAAGGTGCAAGGGTGAAACTGAGAATTGCCAAACTTCCTTAACAAGAAAAGTGACTTTAAATGTATACAATTCTAGGTCATTTGCGCTGCTTGACCATAAACATGGGTGCAAAAGTCATGTCGCACAGAGCAATCGTAATTGCCTTCTGCTTTTTGCTCAAAACCTAAACTACAATTTCTGGGGTGCTTAAAAAGAAAAAAATGCACTGAGGAGTGCAACGGGTCTGTTTATCGGTGAGCTCGTCGCTGACCTGCCTACCCAAATACCCCGCTCGAGCTAGCTTGGTCGCACGCGCTCACTGCTTCCCTCTTTAAGGCAGTATTCTATGGATTCAAGGCTTGTGATTATATTTTCTTACCCTTCAGACACGATTAAAACAAAAGTCTAGCTTTATCGTAATGGTTTTCGGAAACGACGACCGTAGTGCGACAGTTTGTTCAATAGTTTTAAGACAACCGGGAGAAGTTCCATTGTTTTTAAAATGTTGGCATACTTTGCAATTTATTCGTGGTAAAATAATTTCGAAAGATATGAAAATGTCGGATGAGACTTTCTTTTGAACGTTGGTACTAAGGGGGGGTCGTATCTTCATGTTTTATTAATCGTATTCTTCCTTTCACATTTTTTCGAGTTTTTTTTAACGCTGTTGCGTTTACGGAGCTGTTTACACCCACCAGTAATCCCCGCGTAGTCCAGAGCTGCGACCAGTGATGTACCTTGCAGAAATAAAGCGTGTTTTCAGAGCGCCGTATAAAGTACTGAGCTAAGGTAAAGAATGCGAGAGGAATTTCCATTTGACTGGTACTATAAACGACGACTTTAAATTAACACAATACATTTTGCAAATATCCCACCCCGCATTGGTCTCACCTTTCATGATGAGTTTTATCACGAATCTGATCGGAAGGTAGGACGAATTTCCCAAGATGAATTCCGGCCGTTGCGCGCTCTAAATGCCACTTTACGATTAACCTCTTGTAAGCTAAGCCTCCCACCACCATTCAGGCATGCGCTGGCTCATTCGGATTGCGCTCTCTACCCTTGTCATGCACCAAGCGAGCACCAAAGCGCTGCCAACCGATGAGATCGCGACGAAAAACTCGAAGCTGGATGCTGTTTCTTCGGTCCGGGTAATCTCAACTTTGCACGATGTCAGTGGGAACCGAAGCCTGCGGGGTGCCAGCAACAAAGTCACCGCGCAACATGAAGACGAAGAACGCAACAGCCTTCGCTCCTTTGCAAATAAGCTGGTCACTTTCACGTTCAAGTGGATGTACAAAAAGGGAGAGACGCCAGTGAGCCTGAGAGCCAAAATGATGGGTAAGAACAGCTTCCTCTTTCACGAGTACAAACTTTGGTTTGCGGCCGTTCGCGCGACAGGAAAAATGCCCAAGTGGTCGTACAGTGGACAGCACAAATAGTGAATTCGTGCGTAGTTCGCCTACGGATGTATTCTTTAACTTGAAGGGTTAAGCTCCACAAAAATATATCAATCGGGACGGTTGAATTTGTGAGCTTCCACACAATTCGCAGCTCGAAGAACTGTGTTAGGGGTCGTGAAAATTGTGTCCTCCTCCAATCTTACGCCCTACCTCAATAACGTTGCTCAGCCATCGATGTTGTAATGCTTACAGCTTTGGGCCACGGAAAGTTTGTCGTCCTGCAACAATACACCAACTAAGCAAAGTTGCGCAACCAGCGATGTTTTTTGCCAGCATTTTTACAGTGTCCAGCAACATTGCTCGGATTTTCAAAGTGAGCCAACTTAATTGGTTCCTATCCTACGTTGCGCAGCCATACATGTAGACACCAAACGCCAGTGAGTCAACATAAGCAGTAACGTGCTCGCCAATTCATCGACGAAGGACCTGCACTCCGGCGTCAAGGAAAAATATAGTTAGGAGCTCGTCAACGATTACACATTGTCTTAAACTCCATTATCTCTACATGTAATTCGCGTTACTTACAGCTTCCTCTAATAGCGTCGTGGGATTTGGAGCCGAGCTCGTCATGAAACTCAATAACAGAAATAACTTAGACTATGTATTGCGACTTCAATTCGTAAATTTTAATGCAATCTCAGGCGGTCATGTATTGCAAGGATCGAAAAAAAATGAAACAATAATTACTGAAGTGGCTCACTAGAACAATTGATTATTGAGCCTTGTCGTAGTGCAATGATTATTACTGTCTGTCAAGGAGTCTAGTTTCCAAGGTATACAAATTTTAATTGAATATAGGCAGTCAAATAATTTTATTATTCTTTTCAGTTTAATAAATTGTAATTAGTATCGAGCATGTTAAAATGATTTATGTCGCCATAAAACGTTTTGCAATCTAAAATTTAATTTTCCAGATCCACGCTTTTGAAAATATTCTGTTTTTGCAATATTTAAACTCTGCTAAAAATGTTATAGCTTGTTGGCATATTTTGCTTCATGATAACCATCGCTGTTGCTCTGGTACCCAAAGTGTGCTGAGAGCTTAAATTTTGTAAGCTTACCACACTAAGATACATCTGAATTATCTCATGCGGCTAAGAGAAATGATTCGCTCGACTACGTCTAAAAACAAAGAAAACAGTTTGAGCAGCATTCTTCGTGGTAGAGTAGTACGTACAGCCCTGTAGGGATTAATTCGGTGTATGTAGCGCACACCAATAGTAGGTATCGATTCGATGCAAATTTTAAAGATCTTATTTTGCAAACAAACGCTATTTGACTCTAAAGTTTTCATTTTCGTTTGAGGTTTTGCTAATAAATCACTTGATTGATGGACATGGACAAAATAGTGAGCTTCGTCAGCTTTGATGTTGGCTCTTGAGCAAATGCCGCTTCTGTTGAAGTCTTTGATGCGAATGCTCCTGGCATTGGGCATTTTCTTTTTCACGCCGTTTCGACGGCAGCCAAGCTTGGAAGATCTGCGCCACTCTGTCAGAAACAATGCAAATAAGGGGTTAAGTAATTGAATGGTGCTCATCCTATCATGTCAGAGCAAGAAGACATAATCACCGATTAATGTCAAATAAATTAATTGAGACGATTCAGCAAACATCGCGTACAGACCCATCAGTGATATCAGGATATTATGAGAACTCGGCGATCCATATGGAGGGGATAAATTTGGTAATTTTGGTGACCCTCGGCTGATACTAGTGGTTCCAAACAATTATATGGATTCGGAGATGTTCAAACCTTGCTCCAGCTGACCGTTGCGATCAACAACATGGTAGCGAATACCTAACGGAGCTACATGCAAGTGGCCACATAAAGCCACTTGGTTACGAAAGAGGTTTTCACATTGTGTGAGATACATCAATGTCTACATTTGACAGAAGGTTGGTCTGCACGCGTTCAATGCACTCATTCGTTGAAAGTAATTATCTTCATCCAATTGGAATAGTAGGATTCTGTCAACCATTCGTTGATATATAACTTTCAATTAAAACTATAGATTAGGAGGAATACCCAAACAAATAAATAAACAGCTCTCATTAATACGGGAAATCGGCTTTGCTTTCCTACTTAAAAAAATCTATGCTTTGGAACAAAAGTTTAGTTAATCTAAATGAAACGCAATTTACGCTTCCTCATACACGTGTGCTAACGTGTTAGCCGACGTCGTGGGTTGAAAGTAGACCCATTACACCTGATAGCACTTTGTAGTCCGTCCACTAGCTGATGAGTTCCTATGGAATACGAACACGGGGCGGAGAGCCAACCCATGGACAGTAATCCATCCATGAGTTACTCGAATCCTCCTACCACGCACATTGTGCGTGCAGACTTTCCCCATCTGGTGGATCCAGAGTGAGAAGCTCTCTAAATACTGCTAACAGTCATTGGAGAGGCAGCTGTATTAACAATGATACGTACGCTGTCGCCGACAGAGCAACACGGTGCTGCTCTGGGATTCATCGTGAGCGATCAGCACGAAGCTGCTGCTACAAAACGGTTATCCGGGACGACACCGCGCTTGCGGTCGTCGAAACTGCACGTGAGCCGCTCCATGGGAAAAGAGGGCGAGCCTCTTCTCTTATGGCTTGTCGAGCACGACCTGACACAGCGGCTCGTCATATCAATGACGAACCGTGTTGAAGTTGGCATTCGCCGTGTCATGCGTTGACGGACGCGCGAGGAGCTGGGCGTATGGCCGTTGGCTCACAGATCATACGTACTTTAGCACGTATGCGGTATTCAAGGAGGAGCTCAGACAAGCGTTTGAACCCCCTCAGAATGCGTACCGGTCGAGAGCAGAGTTTCACGACCTGCAGCAAGGTAAGAATGACGCTCATGCTTACGCCTAGCGTGCGTGGTACTTAGGCTCGAACATCGTGACCATTCCGATCGACGAAGCGACAAAGGTTGCCACGTTCGTGAAGGACTTGACGGATGTGTCGGTTAAGACGTATCTCTTCCAAGCCGACCCAGGTACTCTTGAAGCTGCGATTACTCTTGCGATGCAAGAGGGGTTTAGCCTGAAGCAGGCTAAGCTGAATGCGACCGTGCCTAGGATGGCACGTCCGATGCTGATAGAGGAATGCCCAGAGCCAGTGGACCTCTCGAATGCTTCTGCTGCTGACGCCAATAGCGTATTGGGGGACAAGTGCGGTGTTTCCGTTGCGGGTACACCGGATACTTTGCGCCTGAGTGCAGAGCGCCTGTGTACTCGACCAGGGGCCAACGTAACCATGCCGAGCATCGCCGCGTACAGTCAAAACCGTGCAGAACAAGTAGGTGAGGCGCCCTACTGGTATTGCAGTCGCGCGTGTCTACTACGGACACGCGAGACTGAGGACAGTCCCCAGCGAGAAGGCATCTCGCTGCAAGAATCAAAATGACAAGCCAGATCTTATCATCCTGAAAATGGCGTCGAAGACAGCTGGCTCTCTTCGTGCTTTGGTTGACTCAGGTGCGCCGAAGAACTTTGTCCGACTGGAAAGTCTCCCGAAGCGGAACTGCGAGGAAGGTAAAACACCTCGAAGTGATATGGAGGTTCGAATATTAACACTATAAGAACGGAGATGCGCATAGTACGCGTGTGCTTCTCGTACAAACATCGGGTATTTGTGGAAGATCTCATCGTCCTGATCCTAGACGATAGGTTTAACTTGGTAATGGGCATGCCGTGGCTTGAGCGGCATGACCCAGTGACCAACTGAGAGAAGCGTACACGTCGTCGAACGATTAAGTGTTTCGTCGTCGACATTTATCGACGACGTGAAGAACGCATATACGAGTGACGCAGACTCGAAACATCTGCTAGACTTTGTCTTAGCACCTTCCGACGTGTCATGTCGCCACATCTGCGAGCTCGTGCACTCCGATATCGTGTGCACGAAGGACACGGCTTAACGGCGCAGTGGACGACGATGCGGACCGCATCGTCGTGCCGAATAATTATGATCTACGTATGCGGATCATGTACGAGTATCATGATTCCCCTACGGTAGGTGTAGCGGAATTACTTGGTGTGGAGCGCAAAGAGTACGGAGTACCCGGAGCGAAACAAACGCTCAGTACCTAAGTAGGAGGGCTAACAAGGTCTCTCAGTACGTTTGCTGAAAGCCACACATTATGCATTTGATTAGATTAAACTATGCTAGATAGTTAAACAGATATATTTCCCCCTAGGCGGCTTGGCCGCAATATTAGTAAATAAAAACTTCTAGTTTTGAAGCATAAAAGTTAAGTTATTAACGTTGAGTCCTGGTCTGGGGCTGTAAGTTCCTTTGGATAAAGAACTTAGTTTTAGTGACTCTTTGAGCCAATCGTCTTCCTCTGACGTTAAAGCTACGGCGGTCCCGCTGCACTTGGTAGCACTTGTTAACTCTCCGGGTACTCCGTACCCCTGTGTGCTCCACACCATGTAACCCCGTTACAGCAGGGCATCCGAACCGTGAGAACACTTCTCACGAGAGACTTGTACTGGAACCACCAGTGGGTGCGTACTTGCGAAGTGTGCCAACACGTGAAGCCTGCTGCGGCTTCGCAAGCTCCACTACAATCACTACCGACACCGCCGGAGTGCTAGTAGTCCATTCCTATGGATTCAATTTAGGTCTTCCGCCAAACAACAAGCGGAGAACCGGCGTTGTGGCCTTTGTTGACCGATTCAGCAAGATGGTTCATCTTGCTGCAGTATCGGCTGAAGTCACGGTCATGCAGACTGCATGACAGATTGTTGACATGGTTCCGACACCATGAAATGCACCTCGACATCGTGCCGAGCCGTGATCCACGCTTTACAGCGCGGTTCGGTTAAGACGTGTGTACAATTCTTGAAATACAGCTGTCGATGTCGACTCCGGATCATACGCAAGCGGACGACTTGACCGAGCGCGTGAATCGTGTGCTTGGTGATGTACTGAAGAGCTACGCACACTCGTTCCCGAAGTGGAGCGACCGCTCGCCGATGGGAGCGTTTGCCATCAACAACTCCGTACATGTCTTGACAGAGCGCTTACCGTTTTACGTGAATGCCATGCGGCATCCACGCCTTCCGAGCTTGCTCGAAACGGTGAGTTCCTCCTTTGGGGGGGGGGATTTAGGGCTTCGTCAAAACAGCCGCAGAAGAACACTGATACCGATGTGGTATCAGCGGTGACGACGCGAAGTCAAGCGTCTCGTTACGGGAACGAAACGAAGACAAAGAGCATCGTGGCTGTGCGGGGCACACGCACCGCGAGCATGAAGACCTCTGTACCGGGATATAGAGAGTGCGGAGCTCGGGTCTGAGCAGACAATTTGATAGAGGTAGCACAAATGAACTCAAAAGGGTAAATTAGTTTTGATAGCTACGCAGAACCTACCACAACATGCGGTCTCTGACTTCGGTGCAAGCAAGCTTGCTTTGCGCTTCATTGGCCCGTTCACAGTACATAAACGGCATGCCAACGCGTATACGTTGGACATTCTGTCCAGCATGCGCCGTTATCTGACAATCTATGTCGGATGGCTAAGCCCTTACGAGCAATACGAGCCATCTAGTTTTGATGGATCAAGGACGATGTAGCGGCGTGAGCCAGCGTCTCGAGCGCGACAACGCGGCGGCGTAAGTTCCTCAGATCCGATCCAAGTGCGACTTGGATGCTCGAAGCGGTCTGAACAGCTTTAGCGACATGCGCCTTCTGTAGCCACAGCTCCAGTGCAGGGCAGCGAGCTCCCCGCTCTGGGATTGTTCCAAAGCAACAACAGGATCATACAGAGCGTGGGAGCCATGGTCAACCTGGGGTTCACCATACGGAGGGTATCTTTCCGCCCCTACCACCGCCGCGGCGTGATGCACACGGCTCGACACGTTGGATTGTCGAGCGAGCCGTGGACTTTGACGCCCCGAAGACGAACCGAGAACAGGCTCGCCTTCGTATTAGTTAAGGACTTTTGTCTCCACATCGCGATACATGGGAGCCACTGGGTGTCCTGATGAAGGCCGTCCGGAAATGGTGAGGGTGTACGAGGACTAGAACCGAGTACAGGCATAATACCTGCATTTATGCTGCGAGAGCCACTAGCACGGGGTGCATCACGGTCCACAAGTTGATCACGGAGGTCTCGCAGAGGAGTGAATACGCGTACGGAAGTGTACCCGACAACACCGCGCTCAGAAAGACGCATGCCCCGAGGCGACAGTGCGAACACGCAGTTACAGTTGGAGCTGCGCAGGGGATTTCCGCTTCCACATCGCCAATGTAGAGGCAATCAGTGAGATGACGATTCGAGAAGGTCTCGAAGCGCTCGCGAGCCGCGACAATTCTTCGCGGGTAGTCTTTCGCGTTGCTGTTAAGTCTCACAACAAAATGCGTTCCAAGACTGACAAAAGTGTCACATACTCGGGCACTTTGCTTTTGCGCGAAGGGTTTTTCGACGCATTCCATCGGAGCTCATGAAAGCGTCCGATGTAGTAGTCGCATTTTTGATTCGTTGACGAGTCAAGTGCATGTCGACACCCGCGGCGTATTCATCGATGGTGCTGCACGCGTACAGCCCTGTCAGCGATTTCGGATGCAGCTGGCATCCAGAGAGCGCGTACTACAGGTGTAGTACGCGGAGAAGAAGTCGGCACCGGCACATGTGACTGCGCCTCTTCCTTATTACACGGACGCGTCGATTCGGGAGCGTCCCGAACATCGTCACGGCCACGCCACGACCCAACCGGGGGATTGGGCGATGGTTCGATCGACTTAGAGTCGAAAGTTGAGGGCATGGTGTCCTCTTCTTCGATGGAGACGTCTTAAATATCAGACCCATAGTCAGTGGGTATTGTTCCATCGGTAGACATATCCGACGAGCCCTCCATGGCGACTGATGGTTTGTCAGTCGTAGCTTGAGCATGGTTTTGCTTAATCATTGCGTAATATTGCGTGACAGAAAGATTATCAGCTGTCGCGGGCGTTTTTGCTTGCGCGGACACTGGAGTGGTGGTGCCTGCAGGTGTAGGCACATACGTAACAGAGTCTGCCGGGGCAGACTCTTGTGCGGGTGTCTTCCTCGGCGATCTCAAATGAGCTCGGGTTTCTTGAACGTTTTGACGGGCTCGTCAATGCTTTGAATGATGTGTTAAGACTAGAGAAGTCTTGCCTAAACGGGGGGGGGTACACGAAAGTATCTACACATAGTCACTTGGCTACGAAAGAGGTTTTCCACAATGGTGTATTATACAACAATGGATACATTTCGCAGACTGTTGGTCTGCATGCATTCAAAGCATCATAGGTTGAAAGTCAGTATCTTTTGGTAATTACACCGACGGACAGAACGCAACTGCCACTTTCCCGCTGGTACAAGAGCGGTCAGATGGTCATAGCCTTTTTTTGAAGTAACGAATTATCTTGCGTATTTGGCAATGTTAGGGAGACAGTTATATTTAGCACTAAAACTGGTTTTAAGTGCTTTGTTAAACGCCCTCGTGACGGTGGCAGCTTCAATGGATTCTCAAGCTGTTATGGGACGCTTTATCCTAGCTAGGGGTTTTCCTTAGCAGTCGGTGCTGTAGCATTCTCCAACAGTCACAGGGCCCTGGGCTTTACTTTCAAAGGCCCCATGATACCAACATCTAAGGGCTGACAAAGCGAGGTTGCATACTTAGGTAATGGCCGGAGCACAGATATAAGCTCGCCCGACACAATTGCCTCGGACTCGCCCGAGACATAACACTCTAAGTAATCAACGAGTAGTAGAGAAGAGCATTTAACGTACTGCTGCAATAGTGAGCATAGGTAAACTTTTCATACGCGGGTATCCATCCAGGCTTTAGTCTAAACAGTATACACATGTCCTAGCAACCGTTACCGTAACTTCCGTCAGTTAGTGAATAACAAAGACATATATAATAAAATAGAGTAAATCTGTACCGTCGGGGTATGTAGGCAGCTCTTCTCTCTCGATGATGCCGTTTTGCTCTCCACGCCCAATGAAGAGAAGTGAAAGCTTAACTCCATCCGCGCGGATAGTGCATACAGCCGTCAAGCGAGCAGAATGTTTTTGCTGAGCCGTTATAGCTGACGACTGACCTCTTTCGGATAGTATCTGGCCCGGCGGCGCATCAAAGTAAATCCCAGTTTCGTTACAGTTAAAAACTTCGCTTGCAGCATAGCTATTGTACTTAGACTTGAAAAGCTTAGCAAAATAGTCTTGTACTTCTACCAAGTCCTCCAGTTTTTCCTATACATAGAGTATATCAAAATGATCAAGTTAGATTAATTCAATACAATTTATCTGTCCATTCACTACCTTCAAACCGTCCGGTGTGCGCCGCACGAAGCCATGCCGATACGCAAAGCGTTGTAGCAGCCTTTGTAGGGATTGATACGCAGTGTATGTGTCCTTGTTGTCCTTCGATAAGTCCTCCAACCACTCCGAGTGCTCCTCCCGAATGAATGTGGCTATTATAAATGAAGTAAAAGGCAGGGACTCGCGACGTGCTTCCTTCATAAAAGTGACGAGCATAGCGCTAAACGGTATTATCTCGCGACGACCAGGTGCCCACCACAGGGTCTTCTCGCTGCCTCGAAACGCAAAAAGCTCGTCTTCGTTCTTCCTCCATGACATTAAAGTCCATCGCGGAAATTTTTTAGACATGGCAGCCTCGCGCTGACTTAAGCCCTGTGTTGCTATCAGAACGTGCCGTTTCTTCTTCATTGTATAATGCATCCGACGCTGCTTAGGCTTTGAGTACACCTCATTAAGAAGGTCTGTAATCCTTATGATTTCTGGTGGCGACAGGGGCTCAGGTGGGGGCTCCGACCGGTTGTCCGACTCGGACTCCGGGGTGGGCTCAGCTACAGCCTCCATTTTACCAAGTGACTGGTACAGAATACCCACTGCAGTTCAGCTGTTCAATACGACGTTTTAACTAATTTGATTGGCTAATTAGGTGGATTTGCAAGTGGCGGCTACGAACTGCGCCCGTTTTACGTTGACTTTTGGTGGTAGTTTCATTCTGTCCGTCGGTTTAGTATAACAGGGCCATTTGTTTATAAATATCTTTCATTTAGAATATTAGATTAGGAGGAAAACCCAAGCAACCAAATTAGCAGCACTCATTTTTACCGGAAACCGATTTTTCTTTCCTCTTTAAGTAAGTCTTTACTTTCGGACGAAAGTATATTTAATCAAAGTGAAAACGCAGCTTACGCTTCCTCAAACACGTGCTCTAACGTGTAAGACGACGCTGTAGGCTTAAAGTAGGCCCATTTCAGGGACAGCTTGCACGCGAAATCAAAGACTGTGCGCTACTGCTTCTACGAGCACAAGCCTCCGACTACAATGGCCTGCGCTCCATAAATATTGCTGCGGGATCGACCATTATATACGACCCGTTGACCCCTCGCTCCTGCGCACCACACGATGCACGCCACTCTGCCGTCTTCACATGGAATTCTACCCTCCACGAGCTACCCCCCCCCTCTCGTTCTTACCCCTCCGTGCTCATATTTAAAAAAAGGCAGACCGTACTGTTAGAATGCACTTTAGTTGGTCAAAAATGTAGGCAATAGAATATATTCAACACTCCAACTGCTTAAGCAAACTAAATCAGTGAGACACACTTTGCCGAGGGATGACCGCTTAAATTGTTTTTCCAAATTTATGTACGTCTACCAGTAGTATATCATCAAATAGACTTTCTCATTTCAACATTTCTTTTTGTTATTAGTATCCTCTTTCTGTATTCGCCCTGATTTTTTATACGCCCATTTCTGCTTTGGGCACCGTGGTATCCCAAACAGTGATACACTCCAGATAGGGATAGAATTATATTATCAACGGAATACAAAGTTCAAATATCCCTTTGTGATGTGAAAAGTCAAATTATCACTAAACTAAGACTTACTATGGAAATGAATTATACACGATAGGATGATCAATAGAATTCAGCAGTGATTTTCACTGTTTGCAGACTTGCTTGGTTGATCAACTGATACCCAGCTTGGTACCGGAAGTCATATATATGTGGCTGCTGTGCTCTAAAGTCGTAATTTCGGGTGGTTTGGAAAAGAGTGGTCGACAAGTATCTAGCTTGGTATTGAATGTGGCGAAGTCAGAGCGAAGCTGGTTGACACTGTCAACCAGCCAGCTTAACAAACCTACTCGCATATCAAGCTCGGCTAGCCAAAAAAAGTTGGGCTCATTTAGCGCTTACACGCATCCTCCAGAGCATGAGCGAATTGCACCGCTCATGCTTTAGGTTGTAAAAATCCATGCTTGAGCTGGATGTACCATTGATTTGGTACTCTGTGTACTGTGATAACTCCATATGAGACGGCGTCAAACAAAATGATGCTATCGAAACATTTAGAGTAATCGAGATAACCAAGCTTAAAGCTGGCATATTATGTGTTACATGTATTGGTCAATTAAAATGTTTTCTTTTATGATCCATATGATTGGTTGAAACATGAACATCGATGATTCGATCAAAGAATGTGCACCACATTACATGTCATTCATTGCCTTAAAAGATTTTATCCAAGGTTGTTCTAAAGACATATCCCGTACCGGAATTAACGTGTTTTCTGCAACCGTGTAAAAGTACCTTTCAAGTCAAAACCGTAAGAACGGCGGAAGGCGTAAAATCTCGCACATGATACTCCTGTCCATTTGAAACCGTCGCTCTGCTCACAATATTGTAAGCAATAGCGCGCTTTAACTGGGATACTGTTTTGATGCCAAACTGGTTAATTTTGTTGGTGCTGCAGACTTTTTACGGGCCACTGGTTGCAAAAAATTGATCGGTTGCAAAATACCGTTAATTCCGGTACTTGTATCGGGTATGAGAGCTTGCTGGATTATTAAACCAAATTAATAAAAATGATAAGTTATTCTTTGTGGATCGTACGGTAGCCATCCAAAATTCACTTGAAACCTTTGAGTACATGTATAAAAAAATACGAATGTAGTAAACGCAGATGTTTACGCTCCAATTGTAAACGTAATCCTCAAATGTTGACCAATACAGTGTATCATTCATCCTTGACTTTAGACCCACAGATCTCGGATGGCTAATAAGCCACAAAAATAAAAGGTCATTTTTGATTTTCTTTCGATGAAAAATGCGCCTCGCCTTCCCCCTCGTTGCGGCTGTCATTTCTTCCATCATACTTATTGACGCAACAAACCCCGGGCCCCACCTTTTCGAGACAAATGTCAGCGAGACCGACGTCGACACCTCGAGGTTGTTACGGATTAACGACGACAATTTCGACGAGAGAGCAGGGCCTTCCGTTTCTGGTGCTAAAAAGCTAAAATCCTGGCTCACTTCGTCAAAGGTGACCCCAGTAAAGCTTAAAAAATGGCTAAACAAAAGAAAATCCGCAGATTCAGTATTCAGGCTCATGGGCCTGGCAACGACTGGGTCCCATCTGCTCTTTGACCGCAGGTTCAGCGCTTGGCTCCAGTACGTTGAGGATTTGAGTAAGATCTCCAACAAGAAACTATCCGCAATCTCGACCCTGACATCGAAATACAGCGATGACGCGTTGTATAAATTGATCGAAAAAGCGAAGCTGACACCGCAAACGGAGAGCCTTGCCACGAAACTTGAAGCAGAGCATATACAGCACTGGGTAGCGGTCCGAAAGGATCCTGATGAAGTTTTTCGTCTGTTCAAGCTGAATATGCAGCAACAGGACATTTTCGAGCACCACCTATTCCCTAGGTAGGTCAAGTACGTCGATGATTTGAACGACGCCGGTACCTCACAAGTTACGTCTATGATCCCGACGTTGAGAAAGCACTACAGTGATCGCGCTCTGTTCGATATGGCTGAGTCAGCCAAGCACGTTGACGAAACCAACAGCCTTGCCACCAAGTTGGAGAATGCTCTAGTTCAGTCCTGGGGAAGCAGTCGAAAAGCGCCAAAAAATGCTCTCGTTGAGCTTGACCTTGACACGACAACATTTGGAGTCTTAAAGAACCCAATGTTCAATTCGTGGGTCAAGTTTGTAAAGGCTTACGATGCGAAGAATCCCGACAAGACTATGATCGAGACGTTAACGAGTCAATTTGGAGACGACCTTGTGTCGAAGATGCTGGCGGCAGTCAAATCGGAAGAGGTGACGCAAAATATGGCCGTGAAACTTGAGTCAGCTCAGCCGGAAATGTGGAGGAGCAATGGCAAGTCTGTCGACGATGTCTTCGAGCTGCTGAAGCTCTCTAGAACAAAGGGTGACTTTTCTCACAACCCACTTCTTACATCCTGGGTCTCATACATGAACACCATCGTCACTGCAACCCCCAACAAGATGTCGACACTGTTTCTGGAATTGGAGAGTCGCTTTACCGACCGGTCTTTGCTTCAAATTCTCGAAACAGCCATGCGGTTTCCTAGCATGGAGATCGCAGCAACCAAGTTGCATACGGAGAAAATTGACGATATTTTCGCAAAGATGGGATCCCCCAAAGAGGTTTTTAAACAGTTGTCCCTTGACAATGTGGGGGGTAACGTTCTCAGCTATCCGTTGTTCGAGAGGTGGGTGGAGTACGTGAAGGTATTCAACAAGGAGAACCCGAGTAAGCAAGAAACCTGGTTTGGGCCGCTTCTTCGCGAATATAAATGGAGAGGCGTCGAAAATAAAAATCGACAAGGCAATGCGCAATCCAAGCACAGCGGAAATGGCGAAAAGGCTGGAGAACGCGCTGCGTACGGATTGGCTCAACGCAAAGACGCCTCCCAGTAAGGTCCTTTCGCTACTGCATCTCGACAAAATTCAAGAACTGACTCTTATGAGCTCAAAATTCGAAGTGTGGGCCAAGTATCTGGACGACTTTAACGAACGTTATCCCAACGACAAGGTGACAATGATTGATAGTCTCCATACGAAGTACAACTACCCGTGGCTATTGCGAATGATCCAAAGTGCGAAACAAGACCCCAGCACAGAGAAGCTGGCTTCAAGAATCCAGAATGAGATGATCAACAAATGGGTAGCTGATAAAGAAAACCCGGCACATCTTGAAAAGCTGCTTTATGGCACGCCAACTTATGAAGCCACACTCGAGCGATACGTTCACAAGCTCATTTCCTTGTCGGAAACCTCTCCGTAAGCAGGGTTTACACTTAATAATACTGCTAAAATACACTAAGGACAAAGAAAGTATATCAATGGTAGCATTGTGGTCTGTCGGGTGACTGTATTATTATCATTAAGCCTTATTTCTAGAATCTCGATAATATCTCGATAAGTGGACACAAACCTTTCTCGGCGCCAAAGTAGTGCACGGATCGGATTCCAATTCGACGAGGTGCTCTTAGCTGTTTATCTTGTTCAGGTAAACCATGTAGCCGTTGGAGACCGGCACGTACTTTTTCCTTTTTTGACACTTTCAAAACGTTATTGATGTTGTTCAAGGTATAGCCCTTCGTATTTCACTTCTTGTACACATCGTCCGCCTCGTCGAAATTTGCCAGGATCTTCTTGGCGAACGATTTGACATTCGCTTCTTGCGTCAGACGGATTCCTCGCTCTTCCATATTCGCTTCGCGCTCTCGAAGGAACCTTCTGGCGACAGGATCAACGTTGTGTGCTGCGTTGAGCGAGTAGACGAGGATTGGTGACCCCATCAGCGAGTGCTTGGTTTGATCTGAGCCCTCAGCCGCGGTACAGGTCACAAAATAGATGATGGTGATCGACGACAGAACGGAGAACAAACGCATTGCTTGCAGCGCTTGAAGAGTTGAAAGCTTTTCTATCTAAAGGACAAAATGATAAATGCCACCATTGGAGTTTGTTAAGCGAACTGTCTTTAAATACAGGCGTATTCTATTTAGGGGACTAGTTAGAGCCTTTTCGTCAAGTATTTGAAAAGCCGGTTCGGTAGTTATAAAGCTGACTTACCCTCCGTATCGACAAAGACAAAGATTTTATTTGTGCTACGAGGTAGTTGTGAAAAAGCACTTGCCTGTGTGGTACGTGATGGGTGATTGAGACGATGCTCAATAAAGCGCGTGCCAACGTGTTTTTGGAAACTACATTCATTTAATGTGCTTCTATCGCGTGGTAGCTAAGCTGGTGGAGCGCACTAAAGGATTGGAAGATTTAAGGAAGCATCGTGTCACCCGCGACGTGTATGATTTACACTTTAGTCGCAATCCCAATGAGGTTTTGGAGCGTCGGGCAACGCGATGGTCTGCAACGGAGGAAACGAGAGCGTTTGGTGGCTATTTTATGGCGCAGTGGCTTAATGGAAGATTTCATAGATGGCAGCGTTTCTACACTCCAATTGGCTTTGCCGGTACCAATAACCCCACCGAGCAGTTCAACAGAGTCCTTTAGCGCGACTACACTCTGCGTACGCGACTGAAGCTAGGAACGCTGTTGTTTCAACTACTCGCATGCTGTGGTCATGACTCCGAGAGTTGTCGTTGGTTTCGAAACGTGATCGAGGTAAGCGCATCGCTGAAACGACGCGTGGTCGAGTTAAAGAAAGCTGGCAACCTACATGAAGTGTTTCCTGGTCCTGAGGCTGGTCCCGAATATTTGGTCCATACAGGACTAAAGTTTGTTGTGACGAAGGAAACGGAACGAATGTTCGTGCCGCGGAAAAATCGCACAGAGGAGGGAATCGCTGTGTCTGCTCAGCTCGGAGCTAACTACGCTCGGATGGAGATTGAAGGTCAGACAGAATGGGGCTGGTCTGTCAATCTGCATCAACAGACGTGTGGCTGTGGATACTTCTTTAAATTTGGTCAGTGCATTCACTTGCTTTTTGCCATGCACAGTGGTTTCCTGAGTGTTACCGGGAAGCGCACAATGGTTTGCCGAGGAACTTTCAAGAGACGAAGAGAGAGAGAAGGCCCAGATGCCTGCACAACGTCTTCACTACCTCACGCTGTACCACCAGGACGTTCTCAGAACAACGCTCACGCACTAGCCTTTCAGTAGACTAGCGACATAGATCATAATTTGTTTCTGCAGTCTCACGGTCAATACTGACGTTTAGATTAACTTCGACACGATACCATCACCATTAACATCTCCTGAATCACGTCAAGTACCGCTTTTTCTGCAACTGTAGCTCTAGCCATAGCTGCAAGTGGTTATTCACCACTACGCTTCTTACTGTTTCTATTGTCGTTGGGGTGTTAACACTTGGAACTAACGTTTTATAAAGCAACGACACAGGATCTCAAATTTCCATCTCTTCCTTCTACCCGCGATCCTCCTCCGTCTTCTCTTTTTGTCTCTCTCAGCATCAATATGTAGTCTCCGGGGGTGGTAGAAGCATCATTGAGATGCATTTTTAATGCTCTTTCACGTGAACTGTCGCTTTTTTGTGACGCTTGCCCAGCAACACAGCAGCGAGATCCACAACAACAGATCGCACTTGTAGTCTACCGTGATGTCTTCGCCTTCACCAATCCTACGTTTCGCCACGACTACTACCTTCACTTGACGGCGGTTCCGAACCTCAACAAACTGGCACGTAGCATCGCAAGAGTGGTTCACCATCCGAGTGATATTACCACAACAGCCGCGACAATAAACACGCCTTTGCGTCGGGTGCTTTTCAGCTGCAATTCCGGCGCGTACGCGTTCTTAGGCCCCTTCTCGTTCTCCAAGTCCTCCGTAGTTAGTCTTCCAGTGTATTCACCAAGAAATGAACCCGCACTAATAACGGCTGTGGCATGGACTCCTGTTCCACAATTCGCCAGCTCTAAGTCTTTGCAATTATAAATGCTGTTGGAGCAGCGGCCGTTCAGAGGGCGGTTTTCCGATGTACAGAACACGCCAGCCAATGCATTCGTGCACGTGTCACGGAAGCAGTATCGCTCGCACTCACAGGGACCTAAATCACCAAGATCTCCAAACTTAAGTTCCTCTTCGTTTGTACATTCAGTTATAAAGTCCACCTCCTCTGACCACAAGTCAAATTCGTCGTCGTCAATGACGATGACCTCGAGAGGTGGTGGGTCGATGGCGTAGCCGGAAAGGTGACGTCTGAACTCCTCCAGTGCTTCACGAACTCCCGGTACCAGTAGGTAAGTCTTAGCTAGCATAGCTTTCATGGTCCGAGCATTGTACACACAGGCTGGGTCCCTTATGGGCTTACGCTGCTTCCTGTGCTTCATTTTCCGTGACTTTTGGACTCCGTACGAATTTAAGCGCGCTTTCTGCTTCTTGCCGCGCTTGGCCCGCTCCGAATATGTCAAGACCTCCTTCACGGTCTCCTCCGCCTTCTCAATTAGCTCTTGTATCACGTTCACGTTTTTCCTACATCTGTCTTTGCCCTCAAGAGCGTTTCCGCTGACCGGGTTGCTTCAGCCCCCCTTTTGACTAATGACTGACAGGACTAATACTGGCTAATGACTGGGCTAGACTCCATTGTGTTCTGGAAAGTGGAATGCAGATAGAGCCACTTGTCCAGAAGGTACAAACAATCCGGGCGAGTACCCTACCCTCTCGTTTGCAATTTCTTGGATTTGAATGTCGATTGCTCAGGAATATGTGTGTTTTTCAAGGATACGTGTGTACTTCAAATATTTTCTCCCAGGGAAGCCGTGGTTCAAAGTCATATAGATTGTCGTTATGCGGTAATCATCCACTGCGTTACAGTTTGATGGAGTTCCAGCCTGTCAACACCTTAGCGTTATGAGTGGCATTAACTTTAGTACTTGTCATCGAATTTTGCGTGATCAGGCCTCCGTACTTAAAAATATAAGTTTATCTCACAAGAAAATTCGTATACAGAAACTATTTTGTAGCAAATTTTAGCATTCCTATCTCAAAGGTCACACCTACCCAATCTCAAGAAAGGAGTGTTAGCCAATAGAAATCCAAGATCAGGAAAATCGTTTCTCAAAGGGCTCACTTGCAGAAACGCTGATCTACCGGCTCTTCAGATTCTGGGATGTTGGCAAATTATTCATTCACTTGGTGTTTGTAAGCAACCAGATACAGCTACATTCACAAATCTTGATGTTAACCCCTTGACCGCGATGGCCTGTATCAGACACGATATCAAAAAAAGCTTATCCTGGACCATACACGATAAGAAAATTTGACTTAACATTTGTATTGCTCTTTACAAATGTTAGGTCAAATAGGAACGGGGTGCCGGCATGTCTCACCTATTCCCCCGCGCGACTATTCACTTTTAAAAATCAAGGCTGACAGGTTTTAGTCTTATGTGCACCACGTAGTACAAAATCTCACAGTCCGCGGCCCCGACGCCACTCATTCATCCCATTCGAGAATCAGACTGCTGGACGGATGTCAGGATTTTGCCCCCACTGGGCTGAGCTCAAGAAAGAGGGATGGCCCATCAAAAGGCCCACTGGCCTTTCGGTTGACTTTACGTATATAAAGGCGGGAAAGACAAAGGCAGACACACGTGGCAAGGACGTTTTTCTCGGGGAGGAAGAACTAATGCGCTATTTGGACCGGCCTGATACCGGTGCACTTTTGGTTGCGTTTTCAAGTATTGTTTCCTTACTGATAACTTTTGTTTGTTCAGAGAGTGCTGCGAAAGCCAAGCAAGTGTCGGAGCAGCCTACTGGAGATCAGCGTGAGGAGCAGGACAGGTCCGAGCGTACAACAGTTAGCGCCAACGGTATGAAGTTGCTGATTTGTATGATACACGTTACTGGATTTCTCTTACTTGTATCGGACGATTGTTTGCAATTACAGCTACAGCATCGCCACTCCCAGCGACACAGCGGTGCTGCGATGATCAAAGCCAACAGCAGATTAATGAAGGTAGAGATATTTGTTATCGGGCATTGTACAAATCTACATTTATGCCTAACTTAGATGTGAAATGGTACAATACAGCTACTGCTTCAGATGCCGACAGCTTGGTTAGCAGCGCTAACAGTAGGGCGGTGCCGGTGACTTTGCTGTGCACATCGCCTCATGTTACCCCAAGTCCATTGCGCGAATCCTCCCACGTGTCAACATCTATGCCCGAAAGGAGGTCTGTTGCATGGTGGCACGTCTGAGTCCGATGAGGGTGAAGATCCTCAACGGAGCTTGGGTAGCGCATTTAATGCGGTTGACGACGCTCCTGTAGCTCCGGAACCGCGCCGGTCAACCCGGATTGCTGACTTGTATTCGGGTACGCTACCTTGTATGTACACGATATAGATACAAGTTACTAACGTTATCATGTATGTGCTGGTTATAATAGATGTCAATAGAGTGAGAGACTATGATGACCCGGATGAATACCAAGCAATGTCGTCAGAGGCTAAATATGACGACAGAGTCGGAAGTGATGAGAACAGTGAGTTTGACGAAGAGTCCGAAGACGGATGCGTTGACGAACTGGATGAGGAGGATACTGAAGATCCGCTATTCACTGAGTCACTGATCGACGCTGTTGGTGGCTTTGCGAATGTTGCAAGCGGCACGATAGCCGCTGATATCCTGAAGAACATGTATACTAGTGGGTGGTCTAAGCCTGTAACATACAGCCCATTTCCAATCTGAACCAACCTTACGTACCTCGTTCGATTGAGTCGCTTCGAGAGGATTATCCTGGCGTTTGTGGAGACGATTACGGACCAGCACCTCGTGCACTTGAGGCGGCATCTTCGGCGAGTGGAGCACTATTTTATTTTTTACAGCCTCGGCGGTGGGAGAGTATTGCTGAAGCCAGCAACGAGTACTTCTTCGAGAAGATTGACGAAAGAGTCGAAGGCCAGTACGAAAAGCAAACGAAAAGGGAGAAGAAGTCACCTGGATTTAAAAAGAGCTCGCGTGCTAATATCAAGGCGTCGCTGCTAAGAACACCTGACATCACCGCTCGCGAGCTGTGCAACTTTGTGGAGCTTCTAATTGCCAGAACGATATCGCCAAACAAAGAAAAGCTGGAGAATCACTGGAAGATGACTGATGAAAGCGCACTCCCACGCGGTCGATTTGGCCTATTCATGACAAGGGACCGGCTCATGCATATTTCAAGGAATATGCACTTTTGTCGTAACGACGACCCTCGCGCTGCTGGTGACCGTATTTGGAAGCTGTGTCCGGTAGTTGATGCTGTTCAACAGCGGTTTCAGGCTGGATACATGGCTTCTCCGGTCATGGTCTTCGATGAAGCCATGCTGCCATCTCAATCGTCTTTCAACAAGACCAGAGTCTACATGAAGGATAAGCCCCATAAGTGGGGGACTAAGCTATTCATGCTGTGCTGCTCGTCGACGGCCTACTGCATGAGATAAGTAAAAAGGAGCGCGCCCTAGTGCGCGCTCCTTTTTGGTGTGTGCAAAGTCCCCTTAACGTGTACTATACACTTTACTAATATGTGTATCTTGTATGATACAGGTTTGAAGTTTATTGCGGCAAACGGCAAACACATGGGACTGCAGCATCCACAGATACCAAGTCTGGACCCGCGGCAGTTTTTCGCAACCTGGCAGAGGTGTTTGGCCCCAGTGGAACTACTGAGAAGCGGCTAATCGTCACCGACCCTCGCCTGCATTATCAATGCAGCTTTTAAGGATGGGGTTCTACAGTATTGGGACGGTGATGACTAACAGACGCGGTCTGTGCAAAGAGATCATTATCAAGCAGAAAAGCGTCCTGTTAATGTGCTACGTGGCAGTTACACTGTTACCGAGTCAACGTTAGTACCAAGCGTCAAGATGGTGTGTTGGTGGGATAACCGCCCCGTTTACTTACTCTGCGCTGGTGGAAGCGCTCAGCAAGATCGAGTTCAGCGTAGAGAGAAATCAGGCGAAAAGGTGGACGTTGCTTGCCCAAGGATACTGAAGGACTACCAGACGTTTATGGGCGGAGTTGATGTACATGATCAACTCCGCCTACAAAGGCGAGTATTACTACCCTGCATGTACATGATCAATTTGTTTCTAATCCTGTATTATACACGCTATAAGAAGGTATTCGCTACAGCTTGCTTTGAAGTACAAGAAATACTACAAGTCGCTTTTCTTGGGGTTCGTTGACCTCGCTATCGTAAATTCGTTTATAGTGGTCAGCCGTCGTAGCACAAACGAAGGTAAACCAAAGCTCAAGCACGTCAAGTTCATTAAACAGCTTCACACAGAGCTGGTGCAGCTACAGGAGTCAGACTGGAGCACCCTGTGCAGTATGGAGGGCACCCCAGTAAAGACGTCGGCATCCGTGAGGCAGCGGGCGCACGTGCCCATCCAGGTTGACGAGTGGCGAGAGGGAAACAACGAACAGGGCCGAAAGCGCAGACAGAGAGCTTGTAAGGTGTGCTCGATGTTGAAGGGGGTTGACGAGGCGAAAGGTGGCGATACAACCTTTTTACTGCAGCTCATGTAAGTTGTCCTCTAGCACCAAGCAAGCCGCTCGCGTGTGTCTGTGCAACAAAGCCAAGCACGCAATCAATGGTGAAGCCGTGTCCTGCTTTGAGATTTGGCACAAGTGCTGGCGCAATGGCACCTTGCTCCCACCGTCAAAGAAGAAAAAGAGGATTCGCGCTCGGAGACCCGGTTCGAGTTCTGCAGAAGCAACAGGATCAGCAAGTGAAGACGCTAGTGACGGGGAGGGTGGAGACGCGGATGACAGCGCTCCTCGGCCAAAGAGACGTTACCGCGAGGAAACGACATCGTGAGCAGCTGCTTTTGGCTGTTGTAGCTACTTGAATTCAGTATTGCATGTGTCCGATATTCTGCTGCTGCTGTTGAAGTCTATATTTTGACAAATATATCCAGCGATCGCACGGCCCTGACGCATGGTTGTTTCTTCTTTGCTCCTATATCGGACACGATAACTAATTAGCTTGTATCAGAGAGAGCTCTCAGATTGAATAATACACGATAGTAAATTTTCACCATCTTAGGTGTTGGGTTTGAATGCGGCTATGCAATATACACGATATTTAATATACTAGATTTACTATCGTAACCCTTTCCCGACATACACGCTAACAACGATAGGGTTTAGGGAGGTGGGCGCACTGGAAATCCTTCGCGGTCAAGGGGTTAAAAGTGGTCTCCTTAGTGAAAACAAGATAAAACTGGATGTCAGTTATCCGGCTAGCTACGAGACGTGCATCATGTGAGTGGAGGTACTGTAGCTGCCTTTCAAGCACCACCAAAAACGTGATACTATAAAATGTGAACATCGTGAATGTGTTTTCGTACAGTACTTGTACAGCTCGGAACTTGAATCTCTGGTGATAAACTAACTATTAAAGTACAAGAGAAACTAGCCTTGTGCTACTTGACACCTTCAGATGTTGTGCTACATGCAGTAGGTGAGGCTACTGAGTCGAATGCTGTTGATGCAGGTACTGTATGGGTAGAATGAATCTGGCGTACCGGTAAATCGAACTTTTATGTATGTATCTCCTATGTTCCTGTATTTCGAATCACTGTCTCCTCTATTGTCAGTGCAAAGGAATTTCAGTAATACAGTAGTAGAAAATCTCTTCCAACGATTATGCGCTTGTACACTTCTCTCACAGAGAAAATCTCTTCCAACGATAATGCGCTTGTACACTTCTCTCACTTGCACATTTGCTCTATACGAGCCTCTTCCCAAGCCCCTTCAACTTTAACCACACTCGCAATGAAGTTCTCTAGCAAGGATCTCGTCACGAAATTCTCAACTAATCAAGCTCTCCACCTCCTGAAGCGTCAACTATTTATACCAGAAGCTAGTTGTGGCTGCTTCTGGTTAGGGGCAACGATGTGTTCTCTGAATTAAGTCGTGGGCCGTGCATGGAACGAATGCCCGTGAGTTTCTGCGAGAGCGCAAGAACTCCAAGAAGGAGACTATTTTAATATGCAGAAGTTTATCAACCTTCTGTACACCTACGTCCGGGACGAAGTGATCATCAAGCTCCCCGAAAAGGTTGGGATGGTACTCGACGGGTGGTCAAGCGGTGACCGCATGCGAGTATGAAGCCTACTTAAGTTTGTTCCTGCTGTGGTGCCAATGAAGGAGACGACGTGCTAATTTTCGAGACCCGTTTTCCAGAAAGCGAACCCAGTACCACGTTCATGAGCGTTCAACAGCAGTCAATATTCCGCTACCGGTATGATGCGCTCTGTACAAAGTTTTCAGTTTGCTCAAACTTCGAATAGAACTCGGTAGGTGAAAAGCCTTTGAGGGAGCCAAAGGTTGGACACTTGGACCAAGTACCTGAACGCTTACAGTACAGTCAAGACAGTTATCTGTTCGAAACGTTAACGATATGAAGGTCTGGCGAGATCAGCGAAGGTGGGAGGTGCAACGAATCAACGAAAAGTATTGCCTCGAAGACAGAATCTGAGCTAATGGGAAGCTAAGATGTTTAAGGCATTATGCAACGGATCATCACTTCATCCACAGCCCGCTTCTTTCCACGTGAGCCTCGTACATGAATGCCATCGTCACGAGCAGACCCAGCGAATTGTCTTTGTTGCTAGCTACATACTTGGGAAAATGGATGGGTTGATTGAAGAAAAGCCCAAACAATATTGTGCGAAATGACTCAAGAGATCTACTAACGACGCGGGATAAACTCCACAACAACAAGAAACACACGTCCAGTACTCCTCAATGATTATACAATTCATCGTCTTTATCATCTGCCCTTAGCGCTCCTTCTCATCTTACATATCCTTAAGTCATCCTACGTTTTTAAGCGGATGCCGAAGCCAACTTCTTGGTCTCCTTCACGACCGCCGCGCTCTGCAGCAGGACGCGCTTGTAGTCGGACGGCATCACGCGCATGAGCTTGTGCACCGATGCGTCCCAGTTGTCCAGCACCCTCTGCGCCTTTGGCGACTGCGTACGTTCCAGATGTTTGGCGATGAGCGCCTTGACCTCCTAGATCTCGGCATCCGACGCCGTCTCCGTCAACGGACCGACGCCCACCATCCCCATGTTGCACTTCTCCTGGAACGACGCGTCCTCGTCGAAGATGTACGCGATACCGCCAGACATACCAGCAGCAAAGTTACGTCCAGTGGAGCCGAGAACAACCACGCGTCCGCCAGTCATGTACTCGCAGCCGTGGTCACCCACGCCCTCTACGACAGCCTTGACACCAGAGTTACGTACACAGAAGCGCTCCCCGGCCTTACCGGAGAAGTAGGCCTCCCCACTGGTCGCTCCGTACAGCACCGCGTTGCCGATAATCACGTTCTCCGGGTTGGCACGCTCCGAAAAGTCCTCACTCGGGTACACCGACACCTCGCCACCAGACAGAGCCTTGCCGACGTAGTCGTTCGAGTCGCCCTCAAGGTCAAGACGCACGCCCTTGACCAGCCCGAAGGCCAAACTCTGGCCGCCATGGCCCTTGAGCTTCAGGTGGATCGTTCCGTCGGGCAGACCCTCCTCTCCGTAGCGCTTGCAGACCTCGTGTGACAAAGTAGCACCGAGCGTACGGTCCAAGTTAGTGGCAACGTCCTCGATCACGACGGGCGTCTTGTTCTCCAGCGCCGTCTTGGCCTTGTCAATGAGACGCATGTCGATGCACTTGTCCACCTCGTGGTCCTGCTCCATCTCCTTCTTCACGCCAGCGCCCTCGTTCAACGTGCTGGCATTGATAAGCAATGGAGACAGGTCCAGCTTGCGGCTCTTGTAGTGCAGCGCGTCCTGGTTCACCTTGAGCAGGTCAGCGCGTCCGATCAGGTCGTCCAGCTTGCAGAAGCCCAGCCGACGCATGTAGTCCTGCACCTCCTCCGCCAGCATGAACATGAAGTTGACCACGTGCTCAAGCTGGCCCTGGAACTTCTTGCGCAGCTCCGGGTCCTGCGTGGCGACACCGACGGGGCACGTGTTCAAGTGGCACTTGCGCATCATGATGCAACCCAGAGCAATCAGCGGACCCGTCGCGAAGCCGAACTCCTCGGCGCCGAGCAACGCAGCGACCATCACGTCGCGGCCGGTCTTGAGCTGGCCGTCCGTCTGCAGTTTGACGCGCGAGCGCAGGTCGTTCAGCACCAGCGTTTGCTGCGTCTCGGCCAGTCCCAGCTCCCACGGCAGTCCGCCGTTCTTGACACCAGTCCACACCGCAGCGCCAGTGCCGCCGTCGTGGCCAGAGACGGTGATGTGGTCCGACTTCGCCTTAGCCACACCGGCAGCCACCACTCCGACGCCGACCTCCGACACCAGCTTGACCGACACCTCCGCCGACGGGTTCGAGTGCTTGAGGTCGTGAATCAGCTGCGCCAGGTTCTCGATCGAGTAAATGTCGTGGTGCGGCGGCGGCGAGATGAGTCCCACGCCCGGAGTCGTGTGGCGCATCGAATCAATGTAGTCGCTGACCTTGTAGCCGGGCAGCTCGCCGCCCTCGCCAGGCTTGGCGCCTTGAGCCATCTTGATCTGCAGCTGGTCCGCGTTCGTCAGGTAGTTCATCGTCACACCGAAGCGGCCCGACGCCACCTGCTTGATGGCCGAGCGACGCAGGTTGGGCGGGCCTCCGGCCTTGGTGAAGCGCTTGACGTCCTCCCCGCCTTCGCCAGTGTTGCTGCGTCCGCCCAGCGTGTTCATGGCGACCGCCAGAGCCTCGTGCGTCTCCTGCGAGATACTACCCAGACTCATCGCGCCAGTGTTGAAGCGCTTGACAATGTCCGCGACGCTCTCCATCTCATCAAGTTTGGGCATCTTGTCCTCGTCCACGAACTTAAAGTCCAGCAGACCGCGCAGGTTCACGCGCTTGCACAGCTCGTTCGTCTCCTCCACGTACTGCGCGTAGGCCTCTCGCGAGTTCTCGCGCGCCGCGCGCTGCAGCGCCACAATATTCTTGGGCGAGTTGTAGTGGACCTCGGCGTCGTTCCGGAAGTGGTAGCTGCCCGGGTTACGGATCAGCGGCAGCATGTCCGAGTGCAGTGGGTAGCCAGCCTCATGGAAGCGAGAGATGTCCGTGTACAGCGCCTCAAAGTCCGTGCCTTGGATGCGCGAGTTGGTGCCTTCGAAGCACATGCTGATGATGTCGTCACCCAGACCCACCGCCTCGAACACCTGCGCGCCCTTGTACGACTGCAGCGTCGAGATGCCCATCTTGGACATGACCTTGAGGATGCCCTTGCCCACCGCCGCACGGTACTTGTCAAACACTTCAGCGTTGCTCATCTCCTGCTTCGAGTGCGCGTACAGTAACCCTTCGTCGTTCATCTTGTTCAGCGCCATCTCCGCCATGTGCGGGTTGATGGCGTCGGCGCCGAAGCCCAGCAAGGTGCAGAAGTCGTACAACTCCTTGGCGTCACCACACTCCGCGAACAGCGCGACACTCGTGCGCTGCTGAGTGCGCAGCAAGTGCTGATGCACGGCACCGATCGCGAGTAGCGACGGCACAGGGTAACGGTTCACACCAGCGAGCTTGTCGGACAGCACGATAATGGGAGCCTTCTCGTTCACCAGCGCGTCCGTAGCTTGCTCGCACAGACGGTAAAGCGCCTCTACAAGACCGCGAGCGCCACTTCCCGCGGCGAACGTGGCGTCCAGCACCTTAAGCGTCCAGTCAGCGTGGCCAGTGCTCTTCAGAACGCTCATCTCGGCGTTCGACATGACTGGGTGCTCCACCATTAGACGCTTGGCGTGTTCAGCCGTGGCATCCAGGACATTTGCGGCCGGGGCACATCAAGCTCATGACGAGCTCCTCTCGGATGGGGTCAATCGGCGGGTTCGTCACCTGCGCGAACAGCTGCTTGAAGTACTCGAACGGCAGCTTAGGCTGTTCCGACAGCACCGCCAGCGGCGCATCATTGCCCATACTCCTTGCCGTGGATTCCCATGGGCATCATTAGCAGGTCCATCGTCTCTGTCGTGTAGCCAAACATGTTGAGCCGGCGGTTGAGCTCGGCGTAGTTCCGACGGCGCTTGAGCTCCGTCGACGCGTCCTTCTTGGCGGCAGTCAGCTCGGCCAGCGACACGAGGTTCTCGTCCAGCCACTTCTTGAACGGACGACTCTCGCTCACAGATTTCTTGACCTCGTCGTCCGACACGATCATACCGCGCTCAAAGTCCACCAGGAACATCTTGCCGGGCTCCAGACGACGCTTGTACTTAATGTCCTTCTCCGGCAGGTGCTCCAGCACTCCAATCTCACTGGACAGCAGCACGTGGTCCTTAGTGACGTAGTAGCGACTCGGACGCAGCCCGTTGCGGTCCAGCGTGGCGCCGATCGTCTTGCCGTCCGTGAACGCCATCATAGCCGGTCCGTCCCACGGCTCCATGAGCAGCGACTGGTACTTGTACATGTCCTTCTTGTGCGCGTCGATGAGCGGGTCATTCTGCCATGCTGCGGGAATCATCATCATCATTCCCTCAGGGAGGGAACGGTTGCACGAGCTGGCCTTCGTGAGGATCTCCAGTACGGCGTCAAAGTTGCCAGAGTCCGACTTGGAGTCCGAGCAAACAGGCAGCAGATCCGACGTGCGGTTGCCGAAGTACGAGCTGTGCAACTTGCCTCCACGCGCGTACATCTAGTTCTTGTTGCCACGTAGAGTGTTGATCTCTCCGTTGTGGCATGATGCGGTTGGGCTGCGCGCGATCCCAGGACGGGAACGTGTTGGTGGAGAACCGCGAGTGCACTAGTGCCACATAAGACGTGAAATCCTTGGCCGACAGATCGTCGTAGTACTCGAAGAGCTGCTCAGGCGTGAGCTGACCCTTGTAAGTGATGGTACGGTTCTTCAGAGAGTTGACGTAAAAGTCCGAGAACTTCTTCTCGTTCACTGATGTGACCACATTGCGTAGTCGTAGGAGTTCCTTCTCAAAGTCGTCTCCCGAGAGGTTCGGGTTCTCGTTAAGTACCATAACCTGTTCGACATGAGGCTCCAAGGCCAAAGATGTGGCTCCTAGTGTGTTGGACGTCGTGGGCATGGCTCTCCAGCCCACAACTTTGAGCCCCATGGCCTCAGCCATGTCATCGAACGTCTTTTTGGCCAACGGGATGTCGTTCGGTGCGTTCTTGTTAAAGAAGACATTGCTTACAGCTTACTTCTCCTTCTCAAGAGACAGCAGCTTCGCGGTGGCGCCGAATTCGCCGTCTGTAGTGACACGCTGGACGAACTCGTGCGGCAGCGCGACCAACATTCCTGCGCCGTCTCCGGATGCGGGGTCGCAGCCACAGCCACCGCGGTGGGACATACGCCCAAGCATCTCGTTGGCCTGTACGACGGTGGACCGGGATGGCTTCTTCTTAAGGCTGGCGATCATACCGACACCGCAACTGTCCTTTTCCTCGATCTGGCGGTACAGGCCTTTCTGTTGGAAGATAGCGCGCTTGTCGGCGCCTTCGCCCGGGATGGAGCGGAAGCCGCGGACGCCATTAGAACGACGAGGCGCGAGCGCAGAGAGGCGGCTGGCAGATGATGAAATGCGGACGTCGAAGCAGCATCATGGTACTTGCGATTCAGGAATGAACTGGGACCTTGAAGAGGAGACCACCAGAAGACTGAAGTGAGGTTGTGGGCTGCAATAAATAGTGCAAAAGCCCACAAATTTTACGCTAGTTATCTTTATGGAACACGATCTTTTGCCTTTCTTTGCGCCTCTTGGTTAGAAACGAGTGGAGCAGCAGTACAGTGGCCACTCTCAACCAGAACTGAAGGGTCCTGTTATTAATACATGTATGTACATGAACCGTGTACTGGAGAAAGAAGGGTACTGTACTGGTATTGCAGCGTATGCGGGTGTAGGCGGTGCCATCCCGGGTCCGCCTCTGCCCGGTGTTGGCCTTGCACGTCGGTTGATTCCTCACTTCACAAGCATATTAACCCATCCTCCTGCTTGCGCAAAAGGGATCCGCCATATGCCAATTATCTTGGCTTCAGTATGCACTTGTTAAGTGCTTTCTTGTACACTCGCCATTGATCCTCCAAGAGATTCATCCGACAAGTCTTGGAAATATTCTTCAAGGCATGCATCAGCACCACGTGTCTGATGAATGGCATCATGGCAAGGACAAACCCACGCGATTGGACAAACAAAACGAGATACCTCACCGCAAGCCCCCTTTTCAAGGAAATCTCTCAAATAGGGGCATCCCTGTACATGTATCACAGGGTCTGTAGCCATCTTGCACTTGTGTCGACGACTGCGGATTTGATTGCAACACAACTTGCGCCAGGATGAGAGCAGCGAATAGAGTGGTGTAGCAGCAGGAACTTGTGTGAGTTGTAGACTAGCGCCAATCACACAACCCTAATCACACTGCCGCACACGTTGGTTTGCCAGCGAAGCATTTTGCAGAGCGAACGCGAGCTCTTATCCGTCCTTGGTGTATACTACATTTGCAAAGCACACAAGCCAGTCAAGATGCTCGAGTCCTCGCAGCGACCGCTCTGAACCTCGTCCTCGTCGAGGACGCCGCTGTGCTCTTCGCCAGATCTCCTATTCCACGACCAGTCCTCACACTGAAGGGCAACTTCAATTTCAACGCATTAAGCGACGGAGACTGTCGTTTTAATTTCCGATTCTGGAAGCGTGACGTAATTCGGCTGCACAAGGCGCTGCGACTTGAGGAAGACTACAAGCTACCGAGCCGCCTTCGCGTTGGTGAAGTCGAGGGGCTCTGTGTGTTGCTGCGCCGGCTCGCGTACCCTGGACGGTACGGGGATCTTGCTGTGATGTTCGGCAGGTCGCCCAGTGCGCTGTGCCTGATCTTTCGCTTCATGATGGACCTAATCTACGCTAAGTGCAGCAAGCTTCTTGCACGCGGCAGTCCTATCGACAGGTGTATCGGCTTCATTGATAGCACGGTGCGTGGCATCGCCCGACCTGTGCGCAACCAACGGCAGTGCTATAATGGGCACAAAATGCACTCAAGTATACAGTATTCGGATGTTAAAGTGCATAGATATACATTTGTATACGACTTGTTGAATGCTTATCAGTCGTAGCTACATCACTTGAACGAACGTGTGACGCTCGTCTCTGGCAATCCTCACGTAAAAAACGGGCGTCACACGCTCGTAGCTTTCTGCTAAACCACTCTAATTGCTGCGGCAAACGGCAAGACGGCGTCGTCGGCTGAGTCTCGTTTTGGCTGGCGCGCAGAGCTTCAAGCGGACAAGTTCCAGGGCAACAGCGGCCGAAGCTCAACCAGCGTTTGGGGGAGAAATCCATGTCGAATTGACGCCAGCCGCGTGCAGATGTCGTAGAGGCGTTAAACCAGTTCCGGTGCATTGCGCAGCTTCAAGCGCGAGGATCCACATGCGACGGGCGCTGGGGATTTGCCCCGGCTTGCGGTTGTTGCAGTTGCCTCGACGTCTGCTGGTCTGCTAAATGTAGGTCAGTTTCCTCGCAGCCGTGGCCGCACGGCACTCAGTCATTGGCAGGCATTCGACATGCAAGTACAACGACGGTGTGCCGACGCAGCTTCAAGCGCAAGATTCGCCAAATGTGAGGCTCCACGCTTTCGCCTTGTCTACGGTTAACTAGGCCTGTCAACGTTGAGAAATATAAATATCACATGTGTATCCGTGGAAATAACCACATTGGTGTGAATAGCACATGCACAAAATCAGGAGACTCAACGGAGGTACAACCCGGCTTTAGACCATGGAGGAAATATGAAAAATCCTCAGTTTTTTTAAGGATAATCCACACCGTCGACGTCAATATAACACTGTACTGTACCAGTGCAGTGTTATATTGACGTCATCGCCTGTAAAACGATGACGCCCTCGGAGGCTTAAGTACCATTGGTAATTAAGCCTCCGAGGGTACAGTCGTGCACCTCGTATTCGGCGGGGTGGACCATATAGAGTCTACGAGCTGCGAATATTTATAGAGGAGCAGATGGAATCCAGATGTACTACTTTGTACTACCTTAATTAAGTACAAAGCTCAAATCCATCTTCGACACAATACCAGTGTGATTCCAACAGTTTCGTATGGTCATTGTCGATACGTCTTGCCAACCTTCTGAGCACCACTTCATCGCTGTATAAATATTGACGGGGGTATACGTCTCGCCTTTGTAAAACAGAGACAGTGTCCATGATGGCTCTGTGGCTGCCTTCCTACACAATGTTTGCTTATTGGCGAGATTCAACGTAGAATAGGCGGACGGGCGACGTGCCATGGCCTTTTGCGACAAAATTTATAATGAGCTGTTGTATGGTGAAGTGATTGAGCTGATACATCGTGGCGGAAGTGCGGCGTTTCATCCCTCCTTGAGGTTATTTGGTCCAAAGGAGATGGGCAACTCATTTGCGCAATGCATGTGGCCCAATCATTAGATTGTGCAGGTTATTAAGTCATACCGGGGCCGAAAACGAGGTGCACGACTGTACTACCAAGTACTGCTTGGTAACCAGTGTTTTATCACTCGAGAACTACCAAAGAAGCCCCAATTCGTCGCTTGAGCAGCCCGCAACCCCGTCCAAATCCACCCGCTCACAACAATCACGACGCAGTGCCTTCCCCCAAGCACGAGCTCCGCCACCACTGCCAGAAGAGTCTGAGCCACCACCAGAAGCCGCACTTGCAACCCAAACGCCACCGAGGTGTCTGTTCCGTCGTCTGAAGCCTTGAAGACTCTGTTAACGAGTCAGTATTGCCCCCAAGAAGCCTCGCAGTCGGCACCTACTTGCTGTTCGTCGTGAAGAGGCTGCTGCTTTCAGACGTGCGTTGTGTTAGACGCGTGAAGCTACAGCCGTTGGTCCGCTCTGCTGGCGAGTACCTCAACCACATTTACGACTTGACACGACCTGTGTGCTCCTTCACGTGTGTGCCTGGCCAGTAAGTGTGACGAGGTGTCAGTCATTATGGATGCCAGTCTAAAGGCGCAGTTCTGGAACGAAGGCTACCTTGTCGAAAACTTAAGACTACCGCCTCACACTTTGGAGAAAGCTAAACAGGAAATCGAGCAACTGGACTTCAGACCTATTTTTGGTGAAGTTTATGAAGTAGAACGTGACCATTTCCGTCTTCAAGCTCCTATTGCTACATTTGGTCCGGCTACAAACAAAATATACAAGCGAGTGAAGGGTATTGTAGAAGGATCTGATATAAATTGGTACACCAAAAAGTCTATTTGGAACGCATTGATATCACTTCCGGGGGGCCTTCGCCAAGGCATCCACCTAGATTTTCCTTCATTCGAGACAAGCAAAGCGAAACTGGAAAAGGGTATTGTTCAGGCGTCTGTCATTATTGCTCTTCAATCAGACACACAGTTCTACGTCTATCCTGGCTATTTTGGAGTCTATGCAGAAATGGACAAATGCAAACTGTTGTCACTTGACGCGGGCGCATTCCTGCTGTTCCGCGGAGACTTGGTCCATGCAGGGGCTGAATTTGAAGAGGAAAATTTGAGGCTGCATTGTTACGTACGTGTACGTGGAATTTCACAAAAGGCCGACGCAACTGAAGCTGCTGTGTTCAGAAGCTACATGTGCGAGCATTGCGTCCAACAGTGCACATCGCGTCGTCATCTCTCCAACCACCGCCGTTACTGTGCTGACAACCCCAA